TTTTGCAACTGTGAACTCATTATTCAGCCTTAATTAACACTGTGTGGCCTCAAAACAAGCTCAAACTGATCACTCCATTTCCACAGCAGGCTACACTCGGCTCTTTGGTTACTATTCTTTTGACCTAAGACTGTGATTGATTAAATAATTAAAGATCTTATAGTACACAAAATAGTCTCTTGTGAGCTATAAGCCATGTTAGAATGATGTTACCCCCTTAAAGTGCCTATTACGTTAGTTCAGTTAATTTACTGAAACATAGTTAAGATCGTTATTCTGTCCGTCTTCTCTCTGTTTCTGTCCCCAACACTGTCTCTTCTCCTCCTCTGCCCTCTTCTCCTCCTCTCCTCTCTCCGGAATCGCTCGCTCAGGGTAAAAAGGCCCTGACCCTGCGCTGAAGCTGTGATATTGGAGACCTGTCTTGCCCCCCCGCTCTCTTCTACTGCCTCCCCGATTCTGTCTGGGCTCAGTGAACATGTCGAACTGCACATTTCAGACAGACATTGTGTTTAGATTTAGAGTTAAAGCTGCACTGTGTAACTTTCTGGTGGAGGGTGGAGGTCTGCTACCTGCTTGTCTTTGTGGAAATATTATTGCTTTGTCAACAGTATGGCATTAAACATATCTTGTTTCCATGGAGACAAGCCCACAATGCCTCCAGGCCACATTACAGGTCAGATCTGTGGAGATGTAGCTCACTTACTGTACGAATGCATTTTTTTCATTGTATTTTTGAGGATGTAAAACACCTGTAATTGAATAAATGCAACATGGGCAGGCATCATGAACCTCCAGAATTCCCTCACTGAGCTTCAAAGGCTGTACTAGCTCTGACTCATGACAAGATCAGAGAGAATTTTACTTTTAACCAATTTCAGTGCAATTTTAGCATTGAAACTGGCAACCCAAATGAGTACTTTGTTTTTGAAATTAAATGGTAAATGGACAAAATGGGAAGGGGTTAAGGGTTGTGATTAGGGATGTAACAATAAACGAAATATCATGATATCGTATCATCAAAGTTCTCTCAATAATATCGAGGACCATCACAATATATCGAGTTACAAGTCTCTACATTAAGAGTTATGGTGCATCAATAGTTAAAAAAGACAGAGGGAACTACATAGACCATGATCCTTTGCTCCATTTCAGTGCAGACTACAAGAAGAAATAACAATTCTGAGCACTTTTAAGTCTTAGTTCTTTGGATTAAGTCTTGTCAAGGCATTTTAGGAAAAAGTAAAAAGTAGTATATTCACAGTTTTGTTAGCTCCACAAACTGTCACAATAAATATCATACCGTGAGGTTCATACCGTGACAATATTGTATCGTGAGACTTGGATATCGTAACATCCCTGGTTGTGATGGACATTTATATTGTGGAAAGATTTCTCTCAATCTGTCTTTGTGTAAATGAATGTGATATAATCTTGATTATGATTGATTAAATTAAAATAGTGATTAGTTTATCTTTTGGTCTTGTAACTAAAACTCATTTGGTTTGGTAGTTAAAGACAGTGTTAGAAAGACCCTTCAGTGTAAACACTTCTGTTCTCTTCTGCTTGCTGATCCTTTCATGAAGTGACAAAAGTGTGAACATCGATGCAAATCAGATCAAGCATATCTGGCCACACCTCAGTAGGAGTCATCACCTTCTCAGTTTGAACTGTATGTGTCCTCTGGGCATCTCAGGCTTTATAAACTTGGTGCTTTGTAACATTCGGAGTCTGATGTGGTAAGGACGTGCTGCTGGTGAGGAGAGGCTGTTGGTCTGTGGCCAGGGCAGGCTTAGGCCCTGTCCATATCTGCTCTAACAAGAAGAATAAACCTCGGTCTGTATTCCAAAAACTAATCGGGCTTCGCAAATGGATTAATTATTTATCATCAAGAGATACAATTTTTTTTTCCACAACAGTGTCTTGTCCAAGGACAACAACAACAACAGTATTCATCTGTGGGACTTGGAATCACACTGCCAACCTTCAGATCACAGGACGAGCCCTCCACCACTGAGCTACTGCCTCCCCAGTTAACAATAAATCAGCCTTACAACAGTTAAAGTAAAGCTATGTTTGATTTGAACATGTCTAACTCAGATCTGAAGACACAGTGAGGTCTTACATACAGTTCCTTTAAAGGTGCACTGTGTAACTTTTTGGTTTGGGGTCTGTCACCTGCTTGTTTCTATAGACATGTCATTGCTCTGCCTGGAATTTTCCACAGTATGACATTAAACATTCCTATATTTATTCAATTACAGGTGGTTTTATAGCTCAAAAATACCTAGAAAAACAGGCATTCTGACTGTAAGCGGGGTCGCCTCTCCACAGATTTGATTTGGCACCTTGTAACTTGGTCTGGTTCAGTCTCCATGAAGGTAGAAATGTTTAATACCATACTGTACTGTACTGAAATATTCCAGACAAAGCACTAACATAGAGAAAAGCTTACACAATGCACCTTTAAACTGTAATTTAAATGAACTAACAGCCCTCTTTTGTTTTTTTCCATATTTCTCTGAGTACTATTCTCTGACTGTTCATTTCATTTGAGTCGTTACATGAGTGTGAAGGGCAGATCAGGCCATCCCAGTCTCCTGAGCTTGTCTCTGCAAATTGCTTTTTCGTGTTTTTATGCATCGTTTCATTATTACACAGAGGAGAGAGACACACTTTGACTTGGCCTTATCTCCGCTGCAGTGTTTACAGATGTAATTAGAACTTCGCAAAATAATCCTTTAACAGATCTGCACCGTTTGAATCCGAAAAAAAGAAAAACTGAAATAAATGTCAGTTGCGCTAGAGTATAAATATTTCATTGTATTTGCAGAGATGTTAATTAACTTTCACTCAGGCAATTAACAGCCTCCACAAATCCATAAATATTTCAAAACAGAACAAGAAAGAAAGAATAGGATTTTAAAATAGCCTTGCAAAACAGCACACTAATCTTTGCCCACAGTGGCTTTCGAGGTAGAACAGTTTGCACTCCACCATGAGATTAGTGGTTTAATTCCTACTACTATGAGCATACTGTATGTGTGGAAGTAATAGGGCTGGGTATCATTAAGAAGTTGCAGATGCGATACATACCTTGATACATAGGTCACAATATGATACATATCTCGATACATAGGCCACGATGCGTTACATATCTCGATACATAGGGCACGATGCGATACATATCTCGATACATAGGTCACGATGCGATACATATCTATACATAGGTCACGATGCGATACATATCTCGATACATAGGTCACGATGCGATACATAACTTGATACATAGGCCACGATGCGATACATACCTCGATACATAGGTCACGATGCGATACATACCTCGATACATAGGTCACGATGCGATACATATCTTGATACATAGGTCACGATGCGATACATATCTCATACATAGGTCACGATGCGATACATACTCGATACATAGGCCACGATGCGATACATACATACATAGCATGATCGATACATATACATAGCGATATACATACCTCGATACATAGGTCACGATGCGATACATACCTCGATACATAGGTCACGATGCGATACATACCTCGATACATAGGTCACGATGCGATGCATATATACCTCGATACATAGGTCACGATGCGATACATACCTCGATACATAGGTCACGATGCGATACATATCTAGATACATAGGTCACGATGCGATACATATCTCGATACATAGGCCATGCGATACATACGATGCATACATATGAGATACATAGGCCACGATGCGATACATATCTCAATACATAGGCCACGATGCGATACATATCTCGATACATAGGTCACGATGCGATACATATCTAGATACATAGGTCACGATGCGATTACATACATAGGTCACGATGCGATACATACATAGGCCACGATGCGATACATACCTCGATACATAGGTCACGATGCGATACATATCTAGATACATAGGTCACGATGCGATACATATCTCGATACATAGGCCACGATGCGATACATATCTTGAGACATAGGCCACGATGCGATACATACCTCGATACATAGGTCACGATGCGATAACATATCTCAATACAGTGCTCGTGTGATACGATATATTTCAAATCGATTCCATACTGTCCAATAAAAAATAAAGGCTAAATCATGACTGTGATACTAAAAGTCTTATTATTCCACTTCTTGTGTTAACTGAATATGAAACACACTCATTTTCTTCATGAAAACTGTGAAAATGTCAAATGTGTTGCATAAACAAGTTTCCTTCGTCTGAACAAGCAACAAAACTGTAGCGCTGTAACAAAATAATTTAATAAAATATATCAAAAAACACTGTGATATATTGATACAACAGCCCACAATATCGATACTGTATCATCACATTAAATGATACGAATAAGTAACGCAATTCACTCTTCTTGAATGTTTAAAGGTCCAAATATTACGCAAAATTGACTCTTGTGAGCTTTAAATTTAATGTTATATGTTTTAAATTGCCTCTTGGCCAGGTCGTTATTGAAACAAATGAGAAAGTGCTCTTAATTGACTTACCAGGTAAAATATTGAATAATTAAAAAAAACAAAAAACTTATAATGCTGTTACTTCATCAAAAACACACTTGGAGTTGTGTTGTGTTTCATTCACACATGTTTGAGTAACCCTTTAATATCAGACTGCCAACACCTCCAAAGCTCAAAATGCTCTGTTCCAACTTGTGATGTCATGAAGCTGTAGTTTTCAAGTTAACAGCTCCTTTTAGTTCAGTAGAGATTGGCAATCCCAGGTCTTAAATCATCCAAATAATTCTAGTGAAGGTGTATGGAGTTTAAAAACATAGTAGAGCTCTTCCTGTTTTACCACATGACGTCAGAGTATTTCAGTTTGATCGGAGAACTCAGCCTAAATATGTTTGTGATGAGGAAACAACATTATAACAGAAAAGAAAACTGTAAAGATCATTCATTATTTTGTTTTATTTACCAATTTCCTCCTGCTTTCTTGTTTTGCAGGGACCAAAATGGCGCTGAAGTTTTTGCGTAAGAAGACGACAAAGCTGAAGAGTTTCCTGCGCGAGTACAGCGTGTCTCTGTACCTGTCCCCCTGCCCCTTCATCATAAACATGTTTGGAATCGCCTTTGAGACCGATGAGTACTACATCTTTGCCCAAGAGTACGCTCCGGCCGGGGATCTCTTTGACATCATCCCTCCACAGGTTTGAAACTTTTCTAATGTCATTTACATATTTAAATATCAAGTTACTCATTAAAGGTCCTATATTACGCAAAATTGAGTCTTGAGCTTTTAATCATGTTAGAATGTAGTTACCTCATAAAAAAACATACCTGGAGTTGTGGTTTGTTTTGTTCACACATGTCTGACTAAGCCTTTATTATTAGTCTGTCTGCATCTCCAAAGCTCAAAATGCTCTGTTCCACCTTCTGATGTCATGAAGCGGAACTTTACAAATTAACAGCTACTCTTTATTTCCTGATTCTTGGACAATAAAACGCTTTGTATTTAGATGCAGGCAATATACAGCAGAATTATTTTGACTTCAAGAGGTGCTTAAATAATATATCTGTACTGGAGCAAATTTTGGATCTTAATCTTACTAAAGCCCTGTTCGCACAGGATTAGTTTTACCTGGGGTCCCCTGGTAAATTATAATAATTACACACGTTGTCTCTGTTTCTAGTCCCGTATGAAACTCACATGTCTATAAAAATGTCTGTAAAACCTCCCCCAAATTTTACCTCCTGTAATACTGCGAACTCAGAGCCCCTCAGGTTTGTAAACTGCCTTGTTTTTCGTCTGTGCATTGAAGCTAATAGTGATTGAAAATGTCTTCACGTCCTATTTTCGGTCTGAATATGAAATAAATCAACTATATTTATTCTCCACGGACCATACTCTAATCCAGCTATTGTATATTTGTACAATTAAAAAGTAAAAAGCTAAAGTTTGGATGGAGGGGCTGTATCAGTGTGAATGGATTAAAAGACAGAGACTGTGGCGGTTTCAAGAAATCTGATGGTGTGGATGTCATTGTGATTGCCGATCACATCAGTGTGCAAAGAAACACAGTGTTGGACATGACGGTGCCTGTGCATTCTGCTGAAAACAAAACAAACTGAAAATAAAAGCAAGGTTGGCGCCATGGTGAATTAAAAGTTTCTTGTCTTGTTTTAGTGTGTTTATCAGTCAACTAATCCTGTGTATAGGGCTAAAGTTTTACCATGAATGAATAAAGATCAAATATACTGTTTGGGTGCAGTCCTTAACTCTGTAGTAGTGGTAGTAGTAGTAGAAGTCTAAGATATAGTATTGTAGTAGTATCAATAAAACAGAAAGTAGTGGTTTAGGTTCCATTAAAGGTTTTATATTACGCAAAATTGACTCTTGTGAGCTTTAAGTCATGTTAAAATGTTGCTCATGTTTAAACTCACTGTCTCTCCTGTGTTTTGCGTCAGGTGGGTCTCCCGGAGGCTGTTGCCAAGCGCTGTGTCCACCAGGTGGCCATCGCGCTGGACTACCTCCACTGTAAGAAACTTGTGCACCGCGACATCAAACCCGAAAACATCCTCATCTTCGACCGTGAATGTCGCAAAGTTAAACTGTCCGACTTCGGAATGACCAGACGCGCCGGATCTCCAGTGAAACGCGTGAGTGGCACCATACCCTACACCGCCCCCGAGCTCTGTGACACCTCCAGGAACGACGGCTTCTTCGTGGACTACAGCACAGACGTGTGGGCATTCGGGGTACTGCTCTTCTGCATGCTCACCGGAAACTTCCCGTGGGAGAAAGCGATGCCCAACGACGCCTTTTACGACGAATTTGTGCGCTGGCAACGACGTCGTACAGGGAACGTGCCATCGCAGTGGAGAAGGTTCACGGACGAAGCTTTGCGCATGTTTCGAAGGCTGCTCTCCATTGAACAAGAGCGGAGATGTTCGGTTAAAGAGGTTTTCAGCTACTTCAACCAGTGCTGGATGTTGGATACGGAAAACGGGAACGTTAACAACGCCGGGTTAGCGACTAGCGCGCCCCAGATCAACATGAGCACCTCCTCGTCTGAAGAAGATGTTTTAGTGGATAGACTCAAACAGCAAACCTTGTCTCCGGCTTGCGTCGCCGCTAAAGAACGGCTCATGATGGACACACACTACTCCTCCGCTAACAATTCGCCGTCCGCCAACGCCAGCTACGACCGAGTGAACAGGGAAAACAACGAGCGAGGGCGCCTTCTAGTGGCCACTCCCATCGAAATCTGCGTGTAAACACAAAATAAGCAACGCGACACTGGAAAACCACAATCACACGCATAAGATTTGCGTGTTAACTAAGATGCCTTCAAAATAGCTGAATATACAGAAGGCAAGAAGTTGGGTCCTAAAATGTCCCAAAAGCGTGAAGTTTCGCACTGGTTTGAATCATTTCTAGCGAAGTTCAACTGATGAGACGATAATAGGGACAATGTTAAGCTGTTGATGGTTTTGCTTAAATGGGGCGGTTCAGAGCTTGTTGATAAAATGGCTGAAATGGACAGTTCAAGCAATACACTGAAACACATGAACAGACGCTGTTACAAAGAAGGGCAAACTGTCAATACTGGAGACTGACCAATGTGGTGAAAGTAGTATAGCACTGGTTTCTTGTGCAAATTAAGTGGTTTTTTTTTTTTTATTTATTCAAGTATATTATTTAAAGTTGTATTTATAATTTGTTCACTGTTGCACAAATGTTCTCAAGTTAAAGGTGCAATGTGTTGTTTTTGGTAGCAGAGACAGAGGTGGGGACTTGCAAGTTGTGATTTGGACTCAAGTCAGACTTGAGTCACTATTTTTAATACTTGAGACTTGACTTGATAAAATGGACTTGGGACTGGACTGGGACTTGAAGGTCAGTGAATTCGGACTTGAGGTCTGTGACTTGAGAAGACTTGAGAAGCACTTTTAAATCTGACTTCTTTCTGTTCTGACCGTAATGATTCACACTTAGATCTTGTCAAGACATTTAAAAAGGATAAAATTAACATTTCTACAACTCTTACATACTCTATAAAAACTCATATATAAATATACTGTTTTTGTACTATTAATGTACCATTTGTACTGTTAATGTACTATTTTTAAGTACAGTTTATCTTAAAGTCATATAAACTGCAAAAACCTAAGCTTTGGTACTTTGGTTTAAAGACTTGAAATGACTTCAAGCTCAACGCAGATGACTTGGACTTGAATTAGACTTATGGGCCAGTGACTCGAGACTCGACTTGGACTTTTCTGTCTTTGACCTGGGACTTGACTTGGACTTGAGGTCAAAGACTTCTTGAGACTACTTGAGACTTGCAAAACAACGACTTGGTCCCACCTCTGGGGACCACAAAAAACACACAAAAGTGTTTTTGAGTGAAATTTGAGTTTGAAAACAGCAACTACAGGAGCCTTAAAGGGACACTGTATTGTCTTTGAATAAACAGAGTTGGGAGTAGGTGCTAAGACTGTCACTGTAAACATGAACAAGGATCACTTGTTTTGCAATGCGTAACACTATTATGTTACGAAAATGTTCCCAACAATCAGACAATTCATTGATGCATTGATGAAGTTAGTAGGTCATTAATTTGTCAATGATTGTGAAATTTATTGTTAAATTTGTTTAAATAACTTTGGAAAAATTCTGAACCTCCAAAAGAATTAGAACATGATTTTTTTTTTTATTGTTCACGTAGGCCGACTATAGCCAAATAATAATTCAACGTCAATGGATGTAAAAGTAGTCAAAACACTAGATCACTTAATAAATAAATGATAATAAAATTATTGAAACTACTGAAATCAAGATTAAAGCCTGCACTATGTAACCTTTCTGATTTAGGGTCAGTCATAAGCTTGTCTCCATGGAGATGTTATTGTTTTGCTCCACAGTATGGCATTAAACTTACTCTATCTATGTTGCATTTATAGTACAGAAATCCTTGCAATCCTTGTTGGCATCAGCTGCTTGTGTCCATAGTGAGATGTTTAATGTCACACTGTGGAACCTTCTAAACATAGCAGTGACATCTAGTAAAAGACAGTGAAGCAGCTGGCAGGCCCTTCACCAGAAAAGTGACGTAGTGTGCCTTTACAGGGCCCAGATTCCACTATTTTCTGATCTATGTTATAATGTTTCCTCATCACAAACAGACCTGGACTTGTGTTTTGTTTCATTCACACAAACCCTGAATATTTAGGCTGAGTTCTCTCAGTGAAAACACTCTGGTCTGTTCCACCTTGTGATGTCATGCGGCAATACAGGAAGTGCTCCACTGTGTTTCTAAACTCCTTAAACTTTCCCTAGAATCATGTGGATAATTTCAGCCCTGGAATTTACAATCTCTAATGAACGTAACTTGAAAACTACCGCTTCGTGACATCATAAGGTGGAACAGAGCATTTTGAGCTTTGGAGATGTAATCAGACTGATAATAAATGCTTTCTCAAACATGTGTGAATAAAAAAAACACAACTAACATTCTAACATGGCTTAAAGAGTAAATTTTGCGTGATATAGGACAGTTTTCAATTATTTTAGGTGGAAATTCCTGCGTTCATGGAAAACTTATCCACTACTGAGAATGTGGAGCTACAAAATGTTGGTCTATACTACAAAAGTCCACATACTGCACCTTTAACTCTTTGTAAAATGGTCATATTATTGTTATTGTGTTCCATAAAAGCACTGTATATTTCCCATTTTCAAAGCTAAAATGACTGTTTTAACCTGTGAGGCCTATAGACCATGTGAAGTAGCAATTACCAACCAATGACTTTCTATGGGCTTAAGATCAATGGTGCGTTCAAGCGGTTAGAAAAAAAGCATGCGTCAGGATGAATAACAGATTTGCAGCTAAGTTAAGTAATAATTGAAACACTGGAAGTAAAATACAGATTTGTTTAAGTTGGACCCTAAAAATGTGAAAAGATCTGAAATGTTTTTGGACTGTGGAGATTTTTCTTTTTTCATTCTTTCTGTGTTTTTTTCATAAATGTGCATGTTGTTCTTTTCTTGTGGTGAACATTGGTTGAAATAAAAAAAACTATGAATTTTGGGTCTTTTTTAGGTCAGTTGAAGTTAAATTAAAGAGAGGGTAAATGCAAAATCAACTTTTTGGAGCTTTCTACCATGTTATAATGTTCCAGCATCAAAAACACGCCTGGAGTGGTTTTAAATGTCATCCCTGCGTGTTTGAGTAATTTAGTGTTGACACTCAACTTTACTGCTCCTTTAAGACCTCGGAAATGTATAAGATGACATCTTTACTCAGTCTGACATGTGTTAAACAGCAGCTAAGTGATAACAGCCTTCAGTTGAACCCAGACAAAACCGAGACTTAAAGGCTGCGTTCAGACTGCAGCCTGAAGTGACTCAAATACAATTTTTTCACCCCTATGTTACCTGTATCAGATTTTTTAATGACTGACTGAACGACACAGATTAGATTTTTTCGAATGTGACCCAGGCCACTTGGATATGTGCTCCTAAAACTGATACATATCAGATCTTTTGACATGTGACTTCAGTCTGAACGGTCAGGTCACATTCATCCCACCTACACGTCACAAATGAACACAAACTTTCTTCTCTCCGAATGAAATTGTTCTTTCTTTACATATCAGACAAACTGCACGTCCCTTACACTGAACAAAAAAAAAAAAGGTTGTCTGCTGTTTTTTGAAAACTCGGCACTGTTGCTGTCCTTAACTGCACTACAGAACTGTGCGTGTGTGTTGACTGTCACTGTTTGATCAGGTGACAAAAATTCGGCGGTAAATGTAAATATGTCAAATAATAATTTAAATATAAATATAAATACTTCATATAGATATCAATTTTTTTTATTGAAAAAATCAACAAAATACAAGATGCAGACGTGTTATTATTTGCCAACAAGTAATTTTAAAAAAAAAGGCCATGACATCTTTTGAGGGCCAGTTCAAGTGGTGGGGGGCACAGGGGCTCGGGGCCGGTCAAAGGGGCATGGTGGGCCAGAGTTGGCCCGCGGGCCTTAGTTTGAGGACCCCTGATCTACAGTATACAAGCTCACATTGAACACCCCTCTAAAATACAACCTCTTTAACAAATTTAATTAATTAAAAATATGATTCCTTTTACTGGACTTGCAGATTATTAAAGGAGCACTATGTAACTTTTTTGTTAGGAGTCTGTCACCTGCTTGTTTCCATGGATATGTCACTGTTCTTCCTCGAATGTTCCACAATATGACATTAAACAGCTCTACATTACATTTATCCAATTACAGGTGGTTTTATAGCTCAAAAACAGGCTACAAAAACAGACATTCTGACTGTGAGTGGAGTCGCCTCTCCACTGATCTGACCTGTAACGTTGTCTGGTTGGTCTCCATGAAGATAGAAAGGTTTAATGACATACTGTGAAATATTCCAGACAAAGAAATAACTCCATGGAGAAAAACATTTGACAGACCCTCCACGCACCAGAAAAGTTACACAATTATGAAACTATAAATATGAAAGTTTTTTTTATTCATTTGGCAAAGACAGAGTCTCCGTATTTAAACTGTCTGTGTGTGAGTCCTGCCAACAGAGGAGCATTTAAAAATAATTACACCTTTACATAAACATACCGGAAACATCCTGAAATCTGTCAAATCCTATAGGCTAACTGAGCCATTCAATCCGAACAGAGCAGGAGTCTCCATGGTCCAAAATGTTCCACTGTATGACATTAAAGGGCCCATATTACGCTATGTTCTGAAACTGCGGTATGTTCAAATGTTGTTTCTTCATCGCAGACAGACCTGGAGTTGTGTTTTGTTTCATTCTCACATGTTTAACACACAGAGCCTGCATCCTCAAAATGGAAAAAACACTCTGTTCCACCTTGTGATGTCATGTGGTAATACAGGAAGTGCTCCAGTGTGTTTTAAAGTTCCATACACCTTCATTAGAATCATGTGGATATTTTCAGATTTGAAATTGCATGACATCACAAGGTGGAACAGAGCATTTTGAGTTTTGGAGGGCCTGTTTACACAAGAACACTTGCGGGTAAAAACGACAAAATATTTTATCGTAAGTCTTTATTAATATAGCGCTTTTCACAGACATATGTCACAAAGCCGCTTTACAGAGCATATAGATTCATTATTCTTTTCTCTCGACACCCGGTGGTGATAAGCTGGATGAAGTGTCTTGCCTAAGGACACAATGACAGTTTTTTTGCGATTGGCGCTCCACTGTGGTACCTGATTCTCCTAGTGCCTC